AGGGAAAGTGTTGACACAACCTTGAGAATAGAGAGGTCTCTATTCTCAAGTCTAAAGTGAGGATGTCATCCAGGTTGTAAGTCCAAGTGATGGATAAGAGAAAAACAGTTCCTTTTCAGACACAATGGGTCTGAGATGAGGACCAGATGTCCCCAGATGTCAGGGAGCCAGCCTAAGGTGGGAGTAGGAGAAGATGTTTCAATAGGAGAACACAGCTAACAGGACAGAGGCCCAGATCCAGAGGAAACTGCATTTGAATTGGTGAGAGAATTTGAATTTGAATTCAATTTGGATTGAATTGTCAGAGACCAGGGCAGAGGGAAAAGAGAGCAGGATGCAGTGACCACAGTGAGGGCAGAATGGAGAAGGGGGATTGGTTTCAAACTGAGAGTAGGTTTATATTAGATATTAGGAAGAAACTCTTTACTGACAGGTGATGAGGCACTGGCACAGGTTGCCCAGAGAAGTTGTGGGTGCCTCACCCCTGGGAGTGTTCAGCATCAGGTTGGATGGGACTTTGACCAACCTGTTCTAGTGTAAGGTGTCCCTGCCCATGGCAGGGGGGTTGGAACTTGGCAATCTTTAAGGTTCCTTCCAACCCAACCCATTCTATGATTCTGTGAAGATGGAAAGAGGAAAGGGTAAAGGCCAAAGAGGACAAGAAAGGGCAGAAAGATACAGTGGAGGTGTAGCCAAAGATCTCCATCTATACCAACTACCTGATCCTTCTACTTTTTAATTCAAATTCTAATTGTACTACTGTGCATCAAATAAGTATTTCCAAACTCTTTGAGACAAATATTCCCAGATGATCCCAAAAGACAGGTCCAGTTTCTTCATGGTCATGATTACTCTTCAAAAGAAAAAATCATTAACAACTATGGACAGGAAATGTGATTTATTTTTTTTTTAAATCGGAATCAGCCAGCCCAGTATTGGTACAAAAATAGTTAAATACAATGGACCAAATGTCAAACTATGAGAAGAATGACTCAAATTAGAGAAGCATAGATAGAAGAAGCTAACAAAAACATCTCTTCCTGTGGGGATGCTAGCACAGCCAAATACTCATCTTTGTAGGTCACCCAGTTTAAAGAGCAGTGCACGGGGGGGGGGGGGAAAATCTGGGTTTGATATTTTGTATCCTGCACTACAAAGGAATCACTGCAGATATAGAAATAAAAGACAGCTGGGCTGAGGTTTCAGATCACCTACACCCATCAGAAAGGCAGCCAGACCAAGCACTGTGCTCTCCTGTTGGATACCTGGACTAATGCTCCACTCAGTCAATACTTTAGGGGCAAAGAGAGACAGAGCAGAGCAATGTTTTATTAAAAGGTTTCAATCACCTGCACTGCCACAGAAACAGCAGAGAAAATTACATAGCCCAAGGGGAGAAATCTTTGATTTAAATATCTGTAAAAATGTGTGAAAAAAAGGGAAGAGCTCCTGCCTGGGAAAATCATGAGCCTGTCTCAAAGTCTACAAGACTATCTAAGCAGAGGAAGTGAATGAATAACTGTGGCACATGCATGAGTGGCTGAAAGTGCAGCCTGAGCAGTAATTGGCTCTATTGGTGCTCCTCTGATTAGCTGGTTTTGGCTACAGCACTTGTCAGACCCACGCTGAGTTCACAGTACAAAAGTATTCACACTGCACTGAAAAACGTCTCAGATCAGCCTGTGGATCCCTGCAGAGAAACAGCAAACACAGATCTGAAGGATGCAGCCTCCAGGGAGGGCTTTAAATCCTTACTTCATGTCACTAATTCCTCGTTATCTAGAGCTGGAAGAGAAAGGACTCCTGGAATGGATTCAGATGCTCCTGTTACTTTTCACTACCTCAGAAATGAAGGAAGAGAGAAGAAAATTGATGGTGCTTCTGTGGAGAGAAATTTAAGAACAAAATCACAATAATCACTGAATGTAGGTGGTTTGAACTCTTTACCAAAATACCCATCTAAGTTGCTAATTAATTGAAACAGCAAAGGGATCATCTTATTGGTATGGGAAGGAAAGGTTACACACTGATAAATCTCCAGAGAGACTCCTGACAGGGAGAGGTCTCAGCTGGGGACATGTCACAGAGGGCACGGGAGAAAATGAGCCACCCCAAGTCCTCACAGTGACAGTGGGCACAGCACCAGCAAACATGAATGGAAGAGACCAAGGAAATCAGGCACTTCCAAATGAGAGTATTTTTATGTGTAGACTTGCACACCTACTGCGTCTGCTCCAGGGTTATAAGACCCCCCCTTCAGCTCATTCAGCTCTAAAATCAACTCTATGGATGCCTGCTATATCCTCAAAATGCTGACTTGACCACTCTGCAGAATGACAGAGAAATTCCACAGAGCATGAATTATTTGCATCCACACTCTGGTAATCACCACCAAAAAGCAATTTGGAGAGCATCAGCCCGCACCGGAGTATGCCAGCAAATGCTGTTGTGTTTTCTGAGCTGGCTCACTGATTCCAGCACCCTGATCAAATATAAGCACTTTAGGCTATTAATAGTAGCATTAAGGAGAGACTTCCATGTTTTGCTTGTGAGCTGCCTGTCCTTTCTCACCCTGTCCTCCCTCCCAGCTAAATTGTGTTATGTTTTGTGGTGGCTAAATGAAATGTGAGGAACAGCAGAACAGATCACAGCTTAGATCAGATATGTCCAAAGCAGTTTGAGGACAGATGACCATTATTTACTTGCAACACACAGTAAGCAGAGGTGAAGGTTAAATGTGAGGCTTTTTTACCCAGAAGATATCAATCTTGTGTGTATACACAGAGGAAACAGCAACTGCATTTCACACAAGCTGAGAATTTGGTTCCCAGGACAAAACCAACCAACCTGTGGTTACAAACATCTCTTCAGCTTCTTGGGGCTCTGCCTCCAGACAAGTGGCACTGAAGTAATAAAGCACTCATATGCTGCTGAACACAAGATTTGTGTGAGTGAAGCTGCCAGGCTCTGACACCAGTTGCACCACTTGGAAAGACATGGACAGACATGGAGACACCACCCTGCATGGGCTGAACATCTCTCCCACCACTTGCAGCTTCTCTCTTTATTCTTTGCCAGTATCTCAAGAAACCATTTCTTATAGAAACATGAAGTTCATATCAAAGCCTCCATTTACACCAGATTGCACAAAATGCCTCCAAAACTGCCTCAGCTTTATCTGAAGTCAACATCAGCCTCAATTCTTTGTTTTACTCTTTATTTTTTATGTATTTATCTAAAACTTACTGAAAGAGGCTCTAAAACCTTCTCTACCACAGTTTTGTCCCTTCAGGTTCCAAAGCAAAAAGCAGTTTTTCCTAATGCTTAACATTAAAGAAATACTGAGCTGGTTAGCCTTTTGGGATTTCTTGAGGGTATTTTCTTAAGAAAATGCAAAATTGTCTTTAAAGCTTTTTTTCCTGAAAGTTTGAAGCATTTTGTTGATCTTTGAGAAGCAGGGAAAAAATAGAAAAACACTGTCATTCTGAAATTTTTTCTAGGGAAAAAAATCCAAATCTGTTGATCTTTTAGCAAGAAACAACTTTGCAGTTCAAGCATAAAGCCATGGTGAAATATATTGTAGCATCTTGCCATCATGAAATATGAATACTGCTTTGTTAAACTTTTCAGCACACAGATGAGAGTGATGAAACTATTCCAGAGGAAGACTGTTGTCACTGAAGCTGTTTTGTCTCACTGTTATGAAGTTGACTCAGCATTATTTAACTGATGATTCATTATTTTGCACATTATTTTGCACCCCAGTCCTGCACAAGGACCCTCCTATACCAGCATGAACATGGAACAAAGAGGCACCTTCTGCTTCCAGGAGCTCCAAGTCCTTGTAGAGGACTGGAGAGGTAGATGGAGATAGATGGAGGGTGAGATTAAAGGAACCAGCCAGGACATGCTGCCAGACTTTGAGTAACCTTGACAGCCAGGGAGAGATTTAGCTGTGACTATGTCTCCATGAAATTCATACCAAAAAAAAAACCTCCAGAAGATTTTAAGTGTCCCATGCCCATTCCTGACTATTATTCCAAGTGGGAGCAGATGTGGGAAAAGGAGAATACTGAAATAGAAAGAGGCTGTTGGAGGCTGTGAGTGGTGCAAGGCCCCCAGGGATCCTTGGGAGAAGCTCCACAGCAGTTTGTATGTGGGGAGAGGGTCAGTCTTCGAGTTATCTGCCAAAAAGCTGCATCAGACTCTTCTAGGATGAAGCAGCGGGAAATCAAAATATATTGAGACCTGGCTTTTTACTTTTACTTTGCTCACCAGGTGTATTTTGGAAAATTATTGCAGGCTGCTCTCCTACACTTGTGAGTTTTTCTCCAGCCTCATTTCAAGTGGGAGAAGTGGATGACTAGAGTTACAAGTTTCTACACAAACACATCTAAAGTTTCCCAGGATTTTCTCTCCTAGGGGAGCTGTGCACAGCCCTCTGCTCCACTGGGATCCTTGCACTTCCAAAACCCTACGAGTCACACCTTCACCTTTCAAAGCCCTGGGTACCACCAAGTGCTCAGCCCGGAGTGTGCCTGCCTTTCCCATCTCTGCTCTTCTACATCTTCCCTCTTTGCAGCCTCCGTCCTGTTCACCTCTTCCCTTCGCATTCCTCCTCTTTGCAACTCTGCCTTTGCATCCCTCCCCTTTGTAGCCCTCCCTTTTCACCTCCCCCTTTGCACCTCTCTCGCTTACAGCCCTCCCCTTTGCCTCTCTGCCCCCTTCGCATCTCTGCCTTTTCCCATCCCTCCCCTTCGCATCTCTGCTCCTCGCATCTCTGCCCCCGCACACCTCCTGCCCCTCGCCCCTTCTCGTTCCTGTCTGCCCGGCTCTCAGCCCTCTGTGCTCTGCCCCTGGCACCCTCCACCCCTCCTCATCTCCTCCTCATCTCCTCCTCGCCGCCTCCCTGCGCTCCTGCCCAGCCCCGGTCCCCCGCAGCCTCCGGGCCGTGCGTGCCCCGCTCCAGCCCCGCTGAGCCCGGCCCGGAGCCGCCCGCGATGCCGGTGCCGGTGCCGGCGTCGCTGCCGGTGCCGGTTCCGGTGCCGGTGCTGGTGCTGGGGCTGGTGCTGGTGCTGGGGGCCCGGGCGGGTGCCGGGGGTGGCTGCCAGCTCCCGGCCGAGTGGCGGCCGCTCAGCGAGGGCTGCCGGGCCGAGCTGGCCGCGATCATCGTGTACGCGCGGGTGCTGGCGCTGCACCCCGACCCCTACGGCGCCTACAACTACCTGCCCTGGCAGAGGGGCCCCCCCGGCGGCCCCCAGCATGGAGCGGGAGACCTCTTCTACTCGGCCGAGATCGAGCTGCTGTGCGACCAGGCGTGGGGCAGCATGCTGGAGGTGCCCGCCGGCTCCCGCCTCAACCTCACCGGCCTCGGCTACTTCTCCTGCCACTCGCACACCGTCATGCAGGGCTACGCTTATTTCTTCTTCCTCCGGTGAGTGCCGGGCTGGGGGGTCCGGGCAGGGGTTGGGATGTGCCGGGGGATGCGCGCCCGCCCCTGCCCGCAGGGTTCGCTCCGTCCCGCGGCAGCTCTCCGCGCACCGCCTTCTCTTCTGCGCTTCCACCCTCAGTTTCATAGGGAAAGAAAAGCCCGGAACACCAAACTCCCGTAGTGTTCCAGCATTATCGCACAGGGAGCTGCTGTTGAGTAGCTCGTGGGTGCTGGTGCTTTTGTTTTTACGGCGGGACGGTCACGGAGCTGGAGAGAGGCCAGAGCGTTTGCCGAAGTTTGTCGTGGGAGTTTAAAACCCATCCCCGAATACTCACCCGATAGCTTTCCATCGACTCTCCCGAGTCCCAGCCAGACCCTGACTTTGGGCTCATCGAAAGAATAAGAAAATAAACCACAATGTGGGAACAGAGCCATCTCTGTGACCTTTCAATTCGAGAGCATTTGCGAAATACTACTCAGTGGCTTGTTTTGAAATACTTGGTGTATTCTTAGACTGCATGACAAAACTCATTTTGATGCTGTCTAGGGCTTAGTCTGCACCAACATCTTTAAACACATTTTATTGACACAAGTTATTTATTGACTGCTTGAAGGAGTACTTAAACTCTGGGCTCAAGGGCAAAGTGATGCAAATTCACTAGAAACTGTGGCCCAAAATGCAGATTTGCCTCCTTCATGGTGTCTGCAGGGTGGAAGGAGCAGTTTGGTCCTTACTGCTGCTGCCTGATCCGGTCCTTGTGGTGGAAATTGTCATTTTGGTGCCAGGAGACCTGAGAGCTACTTGCAGGCTAAAAGTCTGTGTGACTTTTTGTCGAGCCAGGCTGAAGTATGACAGGTGACTTCTGCAGGAGAGAGAGTGCTGTTCATTCTCACAGTGGGCTGCCCCTGCAATCTGTGTTCCAGAATGGATGAGAACTACATCCTCCTGCCACATGGAGTCAACTTCCAGGAGGCGATTTTCCCCGACACCCAGGAGAACAGAAGAATGTTTGCCAGCCTTTTCCAGTTTTCCAACTGCTCACAGGCACAGCACGTGCTGAGCTTCTCCAGTGACTGGGAGATTCAAGAGGACAACCGGGTAAGGGATTTGTTTGCTTTCCAGTGCTTGTTTTCAAAGTGGGCACAGGCATTCCCATGTCCTTTGTGAACATGTGTACATGAATGCAGAGCAGCAGGTCCCTGATTTTCCTGTTCCTTGGGTAGTACCACTAGCAAAGTAACACACTGGTGAGGAAATATTAAACTGTTTTCAAAGCTAACCTCTGTGTTAACTTTTTCAGCTTCCCATGGACCTGAGCAAAGCTTGGTATCAACTTGTTCATGAACAATAGGTTAAAAATAGTATTACTTGTGATCTTGTCCTCCCCCACCCAGATAATTTCAGGGTTTGCTATCTCTAGACCTCTTTTTTTAATTTCAGCTGAAATGCTCAGGAGCGGATCTTTGCTTTTGAACTTCTCTGTTCATCTCATGTAGTGAGAGCAGTGCCTAGACCATGACAGACTGTAAGGGATTATTCTTGCCTGACTCCACATAACAGCATAAACATCTACTAAACTAATCACCCTGAGCTGCCTTTGTAGCAGCTGGGGAAAAAAAGGACTCTTAAGGGCACATTTCATGTGAGTGATGAGGGCAGGGTTCCTCTGAGGGATGCCAGCATTTACTTCTGAACAAGACAGATGAAATGTCTCTTTCTCCTTTCAAGGAAGGCCACAGAAAGCAGTTCACCCTCTAGGTGATCCTCCCTTAAGAACATCCAAAGATGCCCACTCTTGGTGGCTTCTGAGCCCCTTTATGGGATTGTAGTGTGTGTAACAAATGCAGGATTTTAACAAATGCTTATTTGGCAGAGAGGAGCAACATGCTGTCATGTGTGTGCACGTTCTGGAAGTGCGTGTACTTTTGAGAAGGTGGAACTTGGAGAGCTGGTTTAGTGCTAAACTTTGTTTTGTGAGGCTGGTGGCTTCCCCTGGTATCTGAGAACATTTTAAGCACCTCTCTAGGTCAGGATGGACAGGACAGGTGTCATTGCTTGTGTCTTCTGTGGATTTACCCAAGGCATGATGTTTATGTATGACAGCAGATGTGTGAGTGGCTTGCTTGGGAGATGGATGGAGGGAACTCAGTAGCTGGCTGAGCCTTTTCCTTTCACCACCTGGCCAAATGCCAGCATACAAAGTTTGAGCTGCTGTGTGGCCATCTGGCCAGTGACACAGCTCTTCTCCTTGGGATGCCCCATGAGCAAGTGTTTTCTTGCTGCTGATATTTTTGAGGGGAGACTGTAGAATGGTGCTGTTCAAATATATGGGACAGCAGCATAAACTGATATTTAAGAGGAAATTAGTTATCCTACAATTAAATTGCAGAGCTGTAACCCTGTCCAGGCAAGAAGGGGGAGGTGGAAAGCCCTGGTCCCAGCCCTGCCTTCTCCCTCCCACCCCCTGCTCCCCAGTGACACAAGCAACATACTTGGCAAGTAAAGGTGCTGCTGCTGCCAAATCCACAGATTTTCGTCCAGGGGAGCAAAGTGGCATTGGGAGGCCACCAGGTCCAACTGCCAGTGTCTGCTGGTGATGCCTGTGCACTGTTTATTTCGTCATGCTGAGCTAAACGTGGGGGATCTTGATGGGCTGGCGCTCGTTTATGCCAGCAGTGAATCTCACCAGCCAGCCTTAATGGAAATGACCAGGCAGAAACCCCCAGGGTGAGCTGGGGCAACCCTCAGCCTATGTATCAGAAGTGCATTTCAGCTGTTGCACTCTTTGACCCGTGCAGCTGTGAGCAGACTGGGGGGGATTAGGGCTGCTGCTCCCACTGCCGGGGCCGGGGGCTTTACACACTTCAACCCCCACCCACCCAGTGAACAGATTCGGCACAACTGATGGACACTTTGTCCAGCCCTCATAATGAAAAGTAAAAGCTTCCTCTGCACCAGTTAAAAATAGATGGGGCTGACTGTGCTCCCATTCAGCTCCTGCATCTGTGTTTGCCCAGCCGAGCGCCAGCTCCCGGCGCCTGCGTGCCCCAGCCTGGGAAAGGGATGACATTTCTGCCTGCTGCAATATTAGCAATTTGTTCCTCAGCTCTTCCCAGGTACAGCTCTCTTTATGGCTCCCTCCTCTCTCTGCCTTTTTACCTGTTGTGGTGGATTTCCCAATTGTCACTGTGTCTGCTCACATCCTGTCACAGTGTGAACAATTTCTGTTTCCGAATGTGCTCGGCCAAGCTGCCCCATGCTGGCTCCAAAGCTGAAATCTGTGCTGTGTGCCAGCTTCATGGCACAGACAGTGAACATAGAGCATTACTCCTGAAGGTTTTGGAAAAGAACCTCTTTGGAAGCCTGGGTACATCCAGAGGGAGGGTTCTGTGATGGTGTCAAGTCAGGAAGAGCTTGGATAGAAAGGAGGTTGTTTGATGAGGCTCATGCTGTACTGAGGAGTCAGGGGTCTCACTAGCTGCTGTGTACTGACATAAATTGTTACTTAAAATACATCATGGATGTTTTGTGCAGTCAGAGAGGAGAGGTGGAAATGTTGAGACATTCTGATCAAAAGGCAGCTGAGATGAGAGTCTCATCCCAGGAGTTCATAGGTAAGATCCTGCCTCCAGGTGTTGGAACAGCTGCATGCAGGGACAACTTAAAAAGCAGCAGGCCAGAGGAGGTTTGCAATAAAGGAATGATGAAATTTTCTGTTTACAGACAAATCCCACAGTCTGAAAGTCTTTTGGAATCCTGCTCTTGATATATTTCTGGGGTGGACACTTCAAGAGAGACTTTGGTGCTAGAAGCACGTGCAGATGAAATGGATAATTTGTGTTTGCAGCTCTGGGATGCTCAGCCAGAATGTGAGAAATCCCATGATGGATGAGTGTCTTTGCCTCATGTAATCCTACTCCAAGCAAGGGGTCCCTTCTGCAGGGTGTACTTGAGCTGGCCATGGAGCAGGTGACCCCAAAGTGACCACTGACATGTTGTCCTCCTGCTTGGCTCCTTGCATGCAGGCAGCCTTATCTGGGCTGCCCAAGGGGTAAAATGAGGAAAACACTGATAGCTCCTTCTCCTCCTTCCAGCAAATGTGTCTGATGATGCAAAAGAGAGCAAAGAAATGTGCAGGAACTTTTTGATGCACTGGGATGTGCCACCTGCCTTTTCCATCATGGTAAAATGCTTTTAGTTTTCAGAAAGGCCCCATGGCATGTGATGAAAAGAGGTCAGACCCAAGGCACATCTCACTGAGTATAATACTTTCCTCATCCTGGGCCTGCTGCTTTTGCTGTAAGCTAATTCCAGCTGCATTTTTAAGCCCCTTGCAGTCTGGGCTAAGAGCCAAATGCTGCTTTCCATAGTTTTCCAATAACCCTACAATCTCATAAATTCACTCAGGCTCTTGTTCTGGCCATTTCAGAGTGCAATGATTGCTCCTGCCATTGTTTCTTTAGGCACTTGCATTTTGGCCTCCATGTTTGCAGAGGCAAATACTCATGTGGCTTCATCTTGACTTTTTGTCTCAGCCCCTTGGTGATGTTTGCAGATCTCTTGCTTTACTCCAGCTCGTTGTTGCAGTGGTTTCCACAAAGTTGTTTCTAAAGCCAAGGGATGATGCCTTACATTGGGATTTGAAATCTAGCACCCCCTGCAGAGTTTCACCATTTTAGTGCAAATCTAGGAGCTGTAATTTCTCCTTCTGGCCTTCTGCAGGGTTGTGTGATCTCACAGAGAGGACCTTGTTGCTTTGTCTGCACACAAGGGATTTCAGGAGAAGTGACTTAAGGTCTGGTGTCAATAAGGACAGTAGAAATCTCTAGCAGCACTTGTAGTTATTATTCAGAGGGGCTTGAACTGGTTTTGTCTACAGGTTGGTAAGGAGATGTGTTCTTTTGGCCTCCCCCTTTATGTGTGCAGGAGAGCTGCAAAATGACCCCACAACAAGGGATTGATTGTCAAGCTGTCAGCCCAGTTGTGAGCAACAGTGACAGCACTGAGATAAAGTCCATGAAATTAAGGAGTCCAATAACTTCAATTAAGCTCAGAGATTGCAGGGGGAGATCACACCTTTTATTAAGCCTCTCTCCCTACATTGACTCAAGCAGCAAGCAGAGCCACAGCCACACAGTTACCTCAATTGATTTAGATGAATGGACTTGCCTTCTGAGAGACCTCCAGAGCTTTATCTGGAGTATGATCTCTAATCATAGAGCTTTTATGGGAGTAGCCAGTGTCCCAAATAAAAAGCAAGGTAATTAGTGGGTTAGCCTGGCATCTGTTTAGCATCTTTGGGTTTGGATCTTCTTCTCTGGTGGCACCATGGCTGCTGTAACAGACTAATGACCTGACTGGGACACCTGGAAGATTTGGAGCAGCTGAAAAGGGAACTAGATAAGAAAAGCAATGTAACTGCATAAATGGCCTTGCCATTACTGTGCAAAGCAAAAATTAAATTACATTCTCCCTCTGTGGAAGTAGAGGAAATAGTTTTAGAATTATCTGTATTTCAGCAACTGCTGTGTGCATGGACTGGGAGCCACTGGGTTGGGTGAATCCCTGAGCCCATCTGCTGGTCCAGCCTGTCTTTTCCCTGATGCTCTCAACCAGGTGAATGGCAGAGGGTCTCAATCAGTGACACTTCACAGCACCACGAGGACACAAGCCACAGAGAAATAGCCACTTGTACTAGAGCTCCTTGCCTACCAGACAGAGAAGGGCTTGTTCATGTGATGTTTGCTATGGGGACTTGTTTTGATCCATCTCCCTGACAACATGCCCCCAGAGAGGGGGAAGAAAGAGGGAAAGTTGGGGAAGTCCCCACAATGTTTCAGACCACCCTGATTTTGGAAGTGATTAAATAGTGCCATGTCCAGAGGGAGCCTGAGCTGCCATGGATCCATGGGCCAGAGGTCTTGTGGTGGCTGAGATGGACATTGCTGATGCCAGAAGTGACTCTGCTCTGTGAATCTTGCAAATCCTGGCCACTAGGAAAAAGAAGCTGATAACTGTGTTGTCCATGTTATTCACAAAATTAAAATGAAAAAGTAATATTTTTTTCTCTTATTAAAGTTAAGAGCTTCTGCTCTTGC